CTTGTAGACAAATCTCGTCCCGACATACTTGCTTTCACTGAAACGTGGTTGTCTATGGATATCACGGACAGTGAGATACGTGTACCTGGCTACGCGCTGCTTAGAACTGATCGCTCCAATGGTCGCCAAGGCGGAGACGTACTGTATGTGAGCTGTACGTTAGGTGTGTTGTGCACTTGCACCTTCCATCGTCTGATCAGGTTAAAGAGCTATCGACTATGTTGCGCACCTCTACTACATGGTTTAGTGTTGCACTGATGTACAGGAGTCCGGGAAGATCTTCCACGGAGATAATACATAAATAAATAAATAAATTTTTATTCTTGACAATGCGAGGCACACCTTTACAGGCATGATCATATTTAGCTAACATAGTGTGATCAAACTGTACAAAAGGGTATGTTTGGCATAACAGTGTATGTAAGTATATGGGTGTATATACGTATGTAATTGTGTAGGAATGTAGCTCGTGTTTTCGAATGCGCCGCAGATTTTTTGACTGTTACCGTCAGGAATGTGAGAATAGGTGATTGATTTTCGTGGGTTGGATAGCATTTTCCGAACATCCACGGGCCAGTGACTTTAGTTTGTGGAGAGTCACATCCGCCACGTCGCAGTGTTGTTAAGCAGATATTTGTGGCTTTTTCTAGGAAGAACGCTTGCCAGGCGAAACCCCCACCACGTTCTGGAACACTGGCGGCGAACCATTTGCTGGAACGGGTTAAACCCGAAACACCCGGCTGGCACCAAGAGGAGGTTGTTCGGCTAGCCAGCCAATTGAATTTATTCGCCCTCAGTCCGCCAATAAGCGTTTAGTTCTAGATGATTTCAACCGCCCGGAAGTCTGTTGGGCCGACCTTGCTTGCAAGCCGGCTTCAGGAGCATTCGGTGCATGCGTTATTGAGCTGACCCGCAAAGTGCCTTTGCCTCAGTTCTGGACTTCCTCACTAGGTATATGGACAACAAGATACCAGGAGTAACTGCCCTCACCATCACTAAGATAAGTCCAACATGCATATTTAGACACGGATTGCGCCTCCGGACAAGAAAATGACGTCAGAAGAAGGCAAACGTTGTAAACAAAATGTTTACTAACCTGCACCGCTCGTCATTCGACGCTACGACTCGACTACGTCTTGGACAGGTTAAAACGACTACTGCCGGATTATTAACAAGCCAAGCGGTCAACCGACGAAAAAACGGCTGTCAGTCGGCTGCGAATAATGGTGGGCGAAATCGGTCTGCATTGGGCGGCGTCGACTTGCACGACTGTTCCAGAGAACCTACGGCAAGAGAACCTTGGCAAGCCATCTCCATATAAAAAGCCACAAATGCCCTCTTAACACCACTTCAACGTGGAGGATGGGACCTGCCACTGAATAAATTTACAGCTGAAAATTTAACACTGATGCAGTCAGCAGACATCTACATAAAACCTGCTTAGCCGATTTTTCTATAGAGCATGCCTTGAAAGAACACTGAATATTCCGACAGTTATTGGACACGGATTACACCGAAATCTAACTGTAGCTCATGCGTTCATGGATTACTACAAGGAACTTCACGCCAAATTTGTAAATTGCCACCCCGGTTATGAATCATTGTCAAGCACCAAAGCGCTATAAAATTCGTTGGTCGGACTATTACCTGAAAAACCGTCCAATCGACAAACCGGAAATTTATCAGATAAGCTTCCTTAACAGGAAATGTTTTACAAGACCAAAGCAGCCGTGCTGGTATGAATCGGTTAAAAGTGCAATCAACGCTGTGCCCGAGTTAACGTGGATGGAGCATAAACTTATTAAGTATAGTGCTTTAGATTTGGAATTCGGTAAACAAAAATCTCGTAAGTCACGGTCAAAAAGGTGCAAACCCAAAGTCACCCAATCACGCATGTATATCCTTTCGGTGTATTCGTACATGGTGCCAAGGGACTGCCGTTAAATTATTTACGAATGTCTGGCGGACGGACTTTCGCGCAATACGAGCTAAGGCTATAGTTCTGAACTGTGAGATCTCGCTGGCTGACTGGCCAGTTAGTCTGGGGGTAAAATTAAGGTATATCTTACGGTGGTTTCCACACACTTTATTCCACTCATGAGGAAAAGTCGGTTACGCGCACAACCTCCATGGATAGATACCACAGGCAAATACCTACGCAAGAGATGGTCTAGGTGCTGGAGAACCTATCAAGCAGCTACATCAGCCAGCACCTATGATAGTTATCAAGATTAGAAATAAATGTAAGCAACATCTCAGGACTGTTCGTCTCCAGTACGAGCAGGGTTTAGCGGACTCGACCGAAGCTAATCCCAAGAAGCTTTTCCTTACGTTAAAAGACGCAGCAGGGCAAAACTGTCTGTACCAGCGTTATTGCAAACAGACGTGACCCGTGCGCAAAATGACTAACAAGGGTTGTATACTTAGTGACCAGTATACTGCGGTCTTCGCTCGGTAGATCGCTTTACCACAGGTTGAATTGCATTACAGCGTTCCAAAGGATTCTTGCTTAGCTGAGTTTGACATAACGGAGACTCAGGTCCACGAGCTACTGCAAGGCATTAATCCCTCTAAAGCTTCCGGTCCTGATTCAATTCATCCGAAGCTGTTGCATGAATTGGCCACTGAGCTGCGTGGCCCCCACACAAGCGTCTTGGAATATCGCATGACAGCTGCATCCTACCTTTGGAATGGAAGGAGGCAATTATCCGTCTGATTTTTAAGGGCGGTAACAGCGCTCTGACCGCGAACTACCGGCCTAGCAGTTTGACAAGCGTAGTAGTCAAGTTGTTTGGAAAGCTGATAAGGGATTCAGTGGAGAACCACCTGAATAGACTCAAGCTTCTCAGTGTTGCGTAACGTGGATTCCGCAAGGGATTTTACACGCCACTAATATACTCGCGAAAGCTGGACGAGGCGGTAGACAATGGCCACGCTGTAGACGTGCTATTCATGGACTTTACGAAGGCTTTGGACACTGTTCCTCATCTTCGACTCTCACTAGAGTTGAGGTATATCTGGTCGCGCCCTTCAATGGGTGTCTGCCTTCCTTGAGGGAAGGGAACAGTGCGTACGGGTGGGTCGTAGCCTTTCGTTCAGACAAGCTGTCCTTAGTGGCGTCCTGCAGCGCACGGTATTGGGTCAATTGTTGTTCACGACCTATCTAAACGAGTTGCCGGGAGAGCCAGAAGTGTCATTACTAATGTTTGCTCACGACCTTAAGCTCTGAATATTGTGGATATCCAGAGGCGTCCTGAGGCAATCTAGCATGTCTTGGATAGACTCTAGGAATGGTCTACATTATGGGTGATGCCCATAAATAGGGTCAAGTGCTCTGTTCTCCGACTCGGAGCTGCTAATCCCCCCACCCGATATGTTGTCGGAGGTAGTGAAATCTCTGTTGTCACTCAGCAGGTTGATTTAGGGGTCGTACACTCATCAGCACTTCACTCTGGCGCCAATTGTGAGAAGGCTGCTTGTCGGGGGTTTCGTATGATGCGGTTTATCCGCCGCTCTTTCGGAATCCTAACGGCCAATTTGTTTGTGAAGCTATTCTCGGCACTCGTCCGACCCCACCTGGAATATTGTATTCCGGCTTGTCCAACATACCTTATCCGACACAAAATGGACTTGGAGAGGGTGTTACGAGTGGGCACTTGGCTAGTGCAGGGTCTACGGGGACGCTTGCTCAGTTTGGGATGTACTCAATGCACTACCGAAGAATAAGAGGGGACCTGATTCTCACTTATCGCATTTTGACGAGTAACATCGGACCGGACTTGTCAGGGTATTTCTTCCCGCTACCTTACCTAATCTCCGTCGACACCCACTGAAACTGCATTAACCACGGTCTGATAGTATTAGCACGGAAATTCGTCTGTCGCGCCCAGTTATATATCCTTGGAATTCGTTTGCAGATCATGTGGTTAGGGAACCTACGGTTAAGGGTTTTGCGCGTCCGCTGGATGCTCTTGGATGGCAACACTAAACCTTTCCTTATTTCCAACCGACTAACCTTCACTTTTTAGTTATTTTTAATGACTCAAATATCTTGGTATTCCACCGACTTAGCTCTTTCCACTTTCTCTTTTGCCTTATGAGTTTACATTTTTCTCCTTCTTACTTCACTTAACCGGCCCAGCAAGGTCTGCTAGGGCAGTATTCTTGTGCATTAATTGTTTGGACAGGGTTTGACGCGGTAATTGTTTTAGGTCCATCAGTATTTCAAAGCCTGACAACTCCTGGTTCAACGACACGCTGAAGAAGGAACACCCACGGGATAATCCTATCATTCCAGTCCCGCTTGAACTTGAACATGAACCGAGAGTTGAGGGCTTTATGTGCCAGCTCGATGCTCTTTTATGGCGGCACCTAACGTTTCCTTTTCAGAACTGACACACCCTCACTTTTATTTCCCTATTTAATGACACAAATATATTGGTATTCTACTTGCTTAGCACTTCCCACTTACCCTTCTTGCACACTTAGTTTATTTTTTCTCTTTTTAACTCACGTAACCGGCCGATAAGTGCCTGCTACGCGAGGATACGTAAATATCAATTGGTTGGCCAGGGTGTGTTGCAGTCTTTGTTTCAAGTCCATGAGTATTACAATGTCTGTCAACTCCTGGTTCATCAAGCCGCAGAAGAACGAACACGCATGGGATAATCCTCTTTCCATTCCCACTTGCACTTGAAGTTAACTTTCGACAACAGAACTGGTGTGGACATTTTCGACAACGGCAGTACAACTGCTCCTGAAATTTTTAAACACCGATATAACCAGTACCAATTGGTGTGACCTTGTTGTCGCAAAACTAGATATTTCATAATATGGTCGCAATGGTATTACCCGCAGACAACCAGTAGACGCATACACAACCGACAATTTGAGGTTTATGCTAGTAATTATAACAAGCCGCTGCATGAAGCATTTCTAAATAAACCATTAAATATTCAATTCTTTATTTGTTTTAATATGTTAAATAAATCCTATCTGCCAATCAGTGCTCTACCTTTGCCGGCCATTAGTCGTTTGGGATTACGATGGACTATCCACGGCGTTGCGCTCATTGTCTCACAACTTAATGGTTCGTGGTACGTTATTACTCGTTCAACTGATTTTGACATCGCATTCTGCGTCATACGTCTCTGGTCAGAGCTTTTGTTTTTTTCGTTTGCCTGCTGATCAGCATCAGAATGTTCAGACCATTTCAGCCGTGCACCGTGTTAGTTAGTTTATCACAACACTTCATCACACGTTTACTATTTCTTTCATAGATATTTATAAAGTTACTGCATTCCCTATCTCTATTACAAATCCTGGAGGCTCATCCTTTTTTATCCCTCATTTTGCTATTCGTCTTGCTCTCCGCCTATATAGGTTAGCTTGCAATTGCTTGCGTGTTTCTTCCATTTTAAAGTTCTCAGATGTAGTCATTTCCTTTGCTGTTATCTCTCACACTATTGTTCTTTCATAATGTTGCGGACTCGTCTATAGCAACCCTGCTTCAAGTCCAAGCTTTACTGGAACGATAGGATAATCCCGTGAGTGTTCCTTCTTCAGCGGGTCGTTGAACCAGGAGTTGGCAGATTAGGAAATACTGATGGACCTAAAACAACGACCGCGTCAAACCCTGTCCAACCAATTAATGACCACGTATTCTGCTCTAGCGGTCCTTGCTGGGCCGGTTACGTGAAGTAAGAAAGAAAAAGTATACTCAGAAGGCGAAAAGCGAAAGTAGAAAGAGCTAATCAAGTAGAATTCCGAGATATTTGAGTCATTAAAAAGGAACTTTAAAGTGAAGCTACGTCAGGAAAAACGAAAGGTTTGGTGTTGCCACCCAAGCGCATGGAGCTGGCGCGCAAAACCCTTAACCGTCGGTTCGCTAACCACGTGGTTTGGAAGCGGGCTAGAGCGATCTGTAATTCGGTGCGACAGGCGAGTTTCCGTTCTAATCCTATCAGACCGGAATGCATCAGGTGTACGCCGTAAAGGCGCTTCGCTGCTGCGCGAACACCACCAGTCGCGCGCGGCCTGAGTATACCGCGAGGACGCCCACCCCTACGCGGATTCGAACCGGTGACCTTATGTTTGCAAAGCGAACGCGCAGTCCACTTGGCCACCGGCCGACCGTGGTTTATGCAGTTTCAGTGGGTGTCGACGGAGATTAGGTAAGGTAGCGGGAAGAAATACCCTGACAAGTCCGGTCCGATGTTACTCGTCAAAATGCGATAAGTGAGAATCAGGTCCCCTCTTATTCTTCGGTAGTGCATTGAGTACATCCCAAACTGAGCAAGCGTCCCCGTAGACCCTGCACTAGCCAAGTGCCCACTCGTAACACCCTCTCCAAGTCCATTTTGTGTCGGATAAGGTATGTTGGACAAGCCGGAATACAATATTCCAGGTGGGGTCGGACGAGTGCCGAGAATAGCTTCACAAACAAATTGGCCGTTAGGATTCCGAAAGAGCGGCGGATAAACCGCATCATACGAAACCCCCGACAAGCAGCCTTCTCACAATTGGCACCAGAGTGAAGTGCTGATGAGTGTACGACCCCTAAATCAACCTGCTGAGTGACAACAGAGATTTCACTACCTCCGACAACATATCGGGTGGGGGGATTAGCAGCTCCGAGTCGGAGAACAGAGCACTTGACCCTATTTATGGGCATCACCCATAATGTAGACCATTCCTAGAGTCTATCCAAGACATGCTAGATTGCCTCAGGACGCCTCTGGATATCCACAATATTCAGAGCTTAAGGTCGTGAGCAAACATTAGTAATGACACTTCTGGCTCTCCCGGCAACTCGTTTAGATAGGTCGTGAACAACAATTGACCCAATACCGTGCGCTGCAGGACGCCACTAAGGACAGCTTGTCTGAACGAAAGGCTACGACCCACCCGTACGCACTGTTCCCTTCCCTCAAGGAAGGCAGACACCCATTGAAGGGCGCGACCAGATATACCTCAACTCTAGTGAGAGTCGAAGATGAGGAACAGTGTCCAAAGCCTTCGTAAAGTCCATGAATAGCACGTCTACAGCGTGGCCATTGTCTACCGCCTCCTCCAGCTTTCGCGAGTATATTAGTGGCGTGTAAAATCCCTTGCGGAATCCACGTTACGCAACACTGAGAAGCTTGAGTCTATTCAGGTGGTTCTCCACTGAATCCCTTATCAGCTTTCCAAACAACTTGACTACTACGCTTGTCAAACTGCTAGGCCGGTAGTTCGCGGTCAGAGCGCTGTTACCGCCCTTAAAAATCAGACGGATAATTGCCTCCTTCCATTCCAAAGGTAGGATGCAGCTGTCATGCGATATTCCAAGACGCTTGTGTGGGGGCCACGCAGCTCAGTGGCCAATTCATGCAACAGCTTCGGATGAATTGAATCAGGACCGGAAGCTTTAGAGGGATTAATGCCTTGCAGTAGCTCGTGGACCTGAGTCTCCGTTATGTCAAACTCAGCTAAGCAAGAATCCTTTGGAACGCTGTAATGCAATTCAACCTGTGGTAAAGCGATCTACCGAGCGAAGACCGCAGTATACTGGTCACTAAGTATACAACCCTTGTTAGTCATTTTGCGCACGGGTCACGTCTGTTTGCAATAACGCTGGTACAGACAGTTTTGCCCTGCTGCGTCTTTTAACGTAAGGAAAAGCTTCTTGGGATTAGCTTCGGTCGAGTCCGCTAAACCCTGCTCGTACTGGAGACGAACAGTCCTGAGATGTTGCTTACATTTATTTCTAATCTTTTGATAACTATCATAGGTGCTGGCTGATGTAGCTGCTTGATAGGTTCTCCAGCACCTAGACCATCTCTTGCGTAGGTATTTGCCTGTGGTATCTATCCATGGAGGTTGTGCGCGTAACCGACTTTTCCTCATGAGTGGAATAAAGTGTGTGGAAACCACCGTAAGATATACCTTAATTTTACCCCCAGACTAACTGGCCAGTCAGCCAGCGAGATCTCACAGTTCAGAACTATAGCCTTAGCTCGTATTGCGCGAAAGTCCGTCCGCCAGACATTCGTAAATAATTTAACGGCAGTCCCTTGGCACCATGTACGAATACACCGAAAGGATATACATGCGTGATTGTTGGACCGTAGAAGTGCATTGTATGAAACGTCACTCACGAAGTCGGGAGACGGCGAAAACCAGGTGTAAATTGTATGGTATTTGGTTGTCCGTATTCCTAGTGGGAAGTTCACGGGCTGGTGCAATGGCACCTTGAGGGTGAGCTCAAGAAGGTCTGCACCGAATGTTCGTGAAGCCGAATTGCATGAAGATCTGCCCAACAGACTTCCGGGCGTTTGGAATCCCCTAGAACTAAACACTTATACGCGGACTGATGGCGAATTAATTCAATTATCTCCCTGGTAGATCTTCCCGGACTCCTGTATATCAGTACAACTGTAAACTGGGTAGAACATGTGCAAATGAAGCCGTTAGGACTTTGGCAGTCTAATCTGGCGCACGGAATGTGCAGGTTCTCAAAACATCTAAGGTACTGCTCACATACAGTACGTCTCCGCCTTGGCGACCATTGGAGCGATCAGTTCTAAGCAGCGCGTAGCCAGGTACACGTATCTCACTGTCCGTGATATCCATAGACAACCACGTTTCAGTGAAAGCAAGTATGTCGGGACGAGATTTGTCTACAAGTAGACCCAACTTGTGCACCTTGTTCTTTAGGCTACGCACGTTGCTAAGTACGACCTCAAGGAGGTCGGCGCGACCATCCCTGGGTCGTGCGCCATCAGAATGGGTTCTGATAGGGCTGAGAATAAGTTCCGGCTGACCAGCCGAAAACCCACCAGACGGGGGCCTTGCTCACCAGCCGGCCGTCTGATTTTGAGGTTTTTGATGGCCTTCTTTAACTTCAATCTGTCTGCCAGCGTAAGGTCCGGCTGAACGATGACACCACTGCCCTTAAGTTTGAATGCAAACCGCAGTGATGATTTGCATTCCTCCGGGGTCGAAAGGACCACGCGAAATAGTCGGGGTCGCTTATTTGGCGTACCGATAGGAACGTCCCTTAATTTGGTCAGCTTTCTGACTGACACCGGTGGAGCCAGATGGAAGCAGCTTGGCGGCGAACAGTTTGAGCCACTTGATGTTATCCAAGATGCCTTCCCTTGGGAGATCAGCCGCAATTGCAATAATGTTGCGGAATCTGCCCCTACTGTCCGTGAAAGAGTCGGCACGACGGGGTGTGTTTACCCCACGCGACTTGGATTCGACACTTATACCAGCTATTTTCACCACTGGCTGTGGGACTATCCCTGTCTTTGCGAACGATGTCGAAGCAGCGGTAGCGTAGGTTTCCCGCTTTATTGCCTGTGTCTTACTAGTTCCTGTGTCTGCAAGCCCCTTCGAAGTGTTACGGGCAGATCTAGTCCGTTTCTTTTTTTGGCTCACGGGAGCAGGGGCCGTTGATCTTGTGTCGCATTGAGCGGTTACCAACATTTCGTCAGAACAGACTGGTTCATTGGCAGCCGAGACAGTCAGCATCTTCGCAATGTTCTCCTGTGCACAAGCGTCAGGTGCATTTTCGACTGTCAAGCCTCTTTCTCGATGCCTTGGCGACCACTTCTCTGGCTTTAGCGGACGTCTACTGCTATTTCCCCACCCTATTTTGCTTCACTTTGACCGCCTCATGAAGATATTAATCAATACTATCTGGAGTGTCCGGCAGGATGTGCGAATTCTGGACCGAATTACAGACCCCAGTGAATGGATCGTCATCAATGTTGCCGTCTTTTGCGGTGCCTTTAATTGCAATATTCAGGGATTTTAAAACCAAATCCCTTTTCGCACCGAGCGAGGCGATAGAGGCCAGTTTGACTATCGCCTTCTCAACACCTTCCAACCTTGAAGCCAGCGCTGAAAGTTTAGCACCGGTGCTAGCTGGGCGCGTCGATCTCTGAGCGCAGCATTCAGCACAGCTGAAAAGGAAGTGCACGCAGAATGATAGCATTTTTTACTGGTTTGCTTGTAGGCCGGTACAGCTTTTGTGATACCAGCGGAAGCATACGTCACACTGCATACCGCCAGATACATCTGTTACTGGCTCTGAACAGTTAACCTGTCC